GGGAATGTTACCCTAAATTTTCAGTTTCCTAGCTTTTGTGGTTCCCGAGTTGAAAGTTGCGGACAGATTGCTGCGGACACACACACACACAAACACACACACAGACAACCCCGTAACAATACGCGTTTTGTACTGCTGTACACAGCACAAAACGCATGAAAACTGCATAACTCCAAAGGGGGTAGGGAATGCCCAAAGACTGAACCAGGGATCAAGGGGTGTTGCATTACAATTTTTAACAAAAAGCAGTAAATCACTATGTAGCAAGCAAATAAGTAACTGAGCTAGTATGTAAGTAGTCAAATATTTAGAACATAAGCATGCAGTCAAGTAGTTCAACAAACAAGTACCAATTTCAAACAATGGTGTCGAATAAATTTATCCAATACACTTATAATGTACCGTTATTTCATGGATGTTAAATCAAACAAATCTTAAGCTATACGAAGACTGAAGTTACCTGTTGTCGAACCAACAATAGCATGATCCTGGTCAACGGCTTCGAGGAACTGCCCGATCACAAGAGGTACAGACTGAATTCGTTTCACCTAAAAAATGATTTGGGTTCAAACGGAAATACCATTAAAACCGGAACCTAAAATGCTGCTTTGCAGCCCTCCCCCCGCCCCCTCACTTCCTTCCTCCCAAAAATAACTGATCCATGACATCTATTAAAAACAAAAAATATTAAAACAAGTCTATCAAAATAAGTAAAAATTTTTGGAATAAGACTCTATTCGGTGAGAATTATATTTCTGGTTAAAGAAATCCGTTTTTTTGGCGCCCCACTTAACATTTGTCAATGAATTTTTAAATAATTTATCCATTTTTTGCCAAAAAAAAAAAAATTCAAGCCTCAAGCAATGGCTTTAGATGACCTCTTCTTGCGCATGCAATAATTCTTTTTCCAAATTTCTCGTTTCAAGTTTTACATATTCTTCCATCACATCCAAATGTTCAAGTTGTTTTTCGAGTTTTTTATAGCGCATGTAATCATCCGGTTCATCTGCTGTTGCTGCTGTCGCTGTTGCCGTTATTGCAGTTCCTTCTTTTGATGCGCTGCCCACGGACTCAATAGGAAACATCTGTAAAGAGGAACTGCTGTTGAGTGCTTTTTGCTGGAATTTTTTGACAGATTTTTGAGAAGAAAAAAACAAAGAAAAAACCAATGTCTTTCTGCAAAAAAATCTGGGTAATTTTTGCAATCAAAAAAATATTACGTTTGAAAACTTTTTGTGATAGCAGTGAACCAGCGAATAAAAACTATGGACATTTTTATGGTATTTTTTGCGCAAATTGTAAAATATTTCTTTTATGAATAATCAAAAGGTGAGAACTATGAAAAAAAAAAATGCTAAAATATTTTTTTTTATTATCATTCCGCTTAATCGAAAATATGAAATTTCCTGAATTCCCACAAAAATGCCTCTCTTTCGTGTTACGGAAGTACGGGCTGAGGGTGCAAAAAAAAAAAAAAAAACAATTCTATTTTCAAAGATGAAATTTTTTATTTTTTTTTTTTTTGCAGCTACCGGGCCAAAAAAAAATATCGTGCTTCTATCTGTCCATAACGTATTTTACATATACAGACAGTAATTCGGAGGAAACATATAAGCGGACAGTGGGAAATACAAAGATATGACTGTTTGGGCTATCAGTGTGGGTATCCTTCGCTGCTGGAATACCCCTGTCCGCCGAACGCAGCTATGCCAGTCCACTCGATGTTGGGCTGCATGCCTTCAGTTAGTACCCACCGCCTGTTCGATGTATGTGCGCCACCTCTTCTCGGATTACCCGAGTGATCCCTTATTTTTCGTGGCTACCAATTACTAATGCGCATTGTCCACTGGTTGTTGGTAAGACGAGCAAAATGTTCTCATCCAAATGCAAACATGCATTTGTAATTCCAATTATTCCTGTTCCTTTGATGTACAATCTATTATACGAATGGCAGGCGGTCCTACTTTTCTGTCTGGACTACGGTGGAATAAGAGCGTTTACGGTGCTTGATTACGGTAGCGATTACGGTATTAAGTCGAGGCAGCAATTGGGAAGGTCGGTTACTGTAACGATTACGGTAAGGGGGGGTACTGTACTTAGAAATTTACAGCACAAAACTGTTCTTTTTAAAAAAAAGCGGTCATCAGATTGAAAACTTTGTGATCACACAATGTGAACGTTTGCCCATTGCTGCACAAATCAAAAAAACAATTTGCTACTGTACCATAAATAAAGAAAGTACATACACACACACACACATACACATTTAACGACGAACTTATGCAAAAACGCGTAAGTAAGTCGTTTTTTTTGTATGAGACTGTTCGCATTACTGTGTATCCTTGGGCATTATCACTTGCGCACACAAGGACTTACGTTTTATAATGCGTTATTATTTTGTACAGAGCAAGCCACAAAACGAAACAACCGCTTCGGCAATTGTAGCAGATTTGGCAGCAATACGTTCACTGTCAGACCTTTTACTCAAT